AAAACAAGCTGGTGACAGAGGCATTATAGAAATTTGATAACGTGTCACTGGACATAAGGGAGCTAATGACATAGTGATGTTTTCTTTATCTCCAATTACGGGTTCCATCTAATTCCAATGCCTCTCGTACGATTATATTTTTTAAAATCATTAATATTAGCAATCACTAACCTACGCGTTGCGTATGATATAGATGGACTCACTGGGAACGAAAAAAAGCGAGCCAACCTGGTAAAGCGTCTCGACAAGACGTAATCGTCCCTTGGCATGCAAACCAGTGCCGACAAGACCTCATCGTCCTTTGGCAAGCAAACCAGTGCCGACAAGACCTCGTCGTCCTTTGGCAAGCAAACCAGTGCCGACAAGACCTCGTCGTCCTATGGCAAGCAAACCAGTGCCGACAAGACCTCATCGTCCTATGGCAAGCAAACCAGTGCCGACAAGACCTCATCGTCCTATGGCAAGCAAACCAGTGCCGACAAGACCTCATCGTCCTATGGCAAGCACGTCACTTCAAAGGACAAAACTGATGACAACTAACACCACAGGCATCGCCACTGAAATTAAGGTCGGGGAGGAAAGACTAGAGACTGTAGGCGGCTTCAAATACACAGGAGAAATAGTCTCGGAAGAAGGCTCCAAGCCCTAATTGATGTCCAGGATTGCCCACACCACAACATCACTAAAGAGGCGCAAGAAAATATGGAACGACAAAAATATAGCACAAAAATCAGGCTGATGCCATTTTTTCTATGCCTGCGAGTCCTGGACATTAACAGCAGAATTTCAAAGGAAAATAAAGGCGATGGAGATAAGATGTTTCAGAAGCATTCTTGGCATATACTATAGAGGCGATATCTCCAATGATCAAGTGAAAGAGAGGGGTTTTCAGGCAATTGGGCAGTACGATGACCTCCTGGTGACTGTAAAAAGAAAGGGCAAACTACAATGGTAAGGCCACGTGACAAGGAAACAAGGGCTCGCCAAAGAAATCATGCAGGGCAAGAGAGGATGGAGAAGAAGAAGAGGAAGACGGAAACAAATATGGGAAGATAACATCAAAGAGTGGACTGGACTAAAACTAGGGGATGATGTGCGAAGTGCAGAAGACAGAGACGAGTGGAAGAGAAAAGTTTACATGTTATCAGTGGCGCCCCAAAGATCTAAGGACTAAGTTACATTATGATGATGATCAAGAAAGGGAAGATCAAATGAGTTCAGGGTAACTGCGCTAAATAAGATTTTTTTTAAAATTATTCTATTAAGTACGTTTGGTGCGTATTATTTTCTTCTTTTTTTTCAGAAATGTTTGTTGACATAAATCTGCGGTATAAAAATTTGGGGGTTGGGGGGCCGGGGGTCATTAGAAATCACCCTGGTTTCACGAAATAAAATTCCCGATAACTACTAAATGACGCTATTTTTGTTTTTTAATATCGCAAGTGCGTTTGGTGCGTAATGTTTTCTTTTGATTTTGCGATTTAATTGGGGAAACAAATAAACAGTGTAAAAACGGGGGGAACATAAAATATTTATATAAAGTTAAATAATAAAAAATGCATTTGAAGTATTTTCACGGAAAATGTCTTTTTAAAGGAATTTTCTTATAAGAACTGCTAAAAATACGAATTACAAGCTTTTTAGTTGTCTTCATGCAATCTTTCATCTGTTGCCTAAAGCAATTTAGCAAAAAGTACATTAGCAAAAAGCATATTTGAGATAAGCAAGAATGCATTTTCTTAAATGTCAATTCATTTATTTTTATCACAAGCTCATTTGGATTTGCCCTGCCCTTCAACTATCTTCCAAATGTCAGCCTTGTGTCTAAGCAATTCAACTATCTTCCAAATGTCAGCCTTGTGTCTATGCAATTCAACGATCTTCCAGATGTTCAGCCTTTTGTTCAAATAGTTCAATTCCAAACAACTAATCTTCCAGATGTTCAGTCTTGTCTATGCCATATAACGAATCTTCAAATTTCTCAGCCTTGTGTCCCTGACATTAGAGCTTCACCTATAGCTGGTATGGTGCATACTTCACCCATTGTTTGATGCGATTTCATTTTTTTTTCGAATCCACAAAGAAATGATATACGATGCACGCAAGCCCCCACTTTAGAAAAAAATCATAGTAAAACAAGCTTCCTCTGTAATAGTCGTAAAGTCCATTTAAAACTACATGTCATAGTACTTTCACCTCGCGGCAAACTTCAAATGTAACGACAATAGCAGCTAATTCATCTATTTGAAAAAAGTAATCAACACTTTTTTTTTCTATCACCGACTCTTCCCTGTTTCTGCAAATGAAAAAAAAAAAACATAATTCCAACCTTTTCTCTTAACTTTACAATATTCATTTAAAAACCAACTATTTTCCCAAAGAACCTCCTAGCGTTCCTAAAATCTCCCTAGCTTTTCACCGCTTCATTGAGAAACACACAACTATCTCTCCTATTTTTTTTAGAATGATTTCTGCTGTTCGTCTCTCGGCTTTGCAGTGGATAAAGTGCTAAACAGAGTGTGAAAGAGACGTTTAAACATTGAGCGGCTGATCAGATAAATGAAGGTCTGCAATAGAACTACTACATAATTATTATACAAAACAGGGATACATGCACATGTTTGTTATTTGATCATTAACAATGTTTATCAACATGATAAGGTTGAATTTCAACAGATGAATGAATTTATAAGCTTAAAGTTCCCTTATTTTTATTTTTTGTTAATAACAAAAATGTGATGGAATGTTACCGTTCCGTAGTATTTGTTTTTTCACAATGTTATTCACATTGGCCCATGACAATATTAATGAGCATATCAGTGATCATCACAATGAATGTACCTCAGTGATCATCACAATGAATGTACCTCAGTGATCATCACAATGAATGTACCTCAGTGATCATCACAATGAATGTACCTCAGTGATCATCACAATGAATGTACCTCAGTGATCATCACAATGAATGTACCTCAGTGATCATCACAATGAATGTACCTCAGTGATCATCACAATGAATGTACCTAATAAATGAATTAAATAAACCTAGGGTTCGCACATTTAAAAAAAAAAAACAATTAAAACAAAAATAATGAACTAAATATACTATCATTACCGTATTTTGATATAAATATATTATCATTACCGTATTTTGATATAAATATATTATCATTACCGTATTTTGATATAAATATATTATCATTATCGTATTTTGATATAAATATATTATCATTATCGTATTTTGATATAAATATATTATCATTATCGTATTTTCTGTCAACTCTTTAACTCTGCCTAAGCCTAAATTGAATTTAATTTTTCGAAATATTTGACAAGTAGGTCATCATGCTGTTGTATGCAGTATTCAGAGAGGATTAGCCATATAACATAAGATGAGAATAAGACGTCGAGCAATGATGAATAAATGGATTTGATTGCCGGCCGACTGACTGACAGTCTGACTTCTGGATTGCCGGCCGACTGACTGACAGTCTGACTTCTGGATTGCCGGCCGACTGACTGACAGTCTGACTTCTGGTGGACGACCGAAAGCCTCAATCACTTTAGGCCGATACCGAAAACAAAACGAAAGTTAACTTTTCTTTTTCGGCCTCAACTGAAACTACGCCGGAAGGGATCCATTGGAAACTTTCGGCGCCGAAACGAAACTGAATTTTGGTCGGTCTCTAGTTGTGACATAATTGACCGTATGCTAGTAGACATTGCCTTGGTATATCCTGCTTAACAAAATAGTGTGTGTTTTTTTGTATTTACCCATGACCTGCTTGATATCTCTCTACCTTATATCACTGTATGTAGACCACATCCTTCGCTCAGTGGGTTTGAACTGCGAATTCGGTGTGTTCTTGATATCTATGTGACTGATGTCTCTGCCTGTACACCACATTCTTCACTCTTTAGTTTGAACTGTCAGTCCGTTGACTCCGTTGCCCTCAAAATGTTTTCTTCCCCGTTGGGGGTAAGGTCATACTCTCTAAGAAGCCTCGTTCTGACGTTTTCACTCTTAAAACTTCCTACCAGTCTGTCATTTATCAACGAGAATTTCAGACATACGAATCACTTTCGGTCAACTTGTACAACATTCCCTTGTAATACAAAGCTAGATTTAAGAAGCTTCAGGAAATCTCTTTATTTCAACAGACATATTTCTCTCACAGCTAGATTTATTAATATTCCAAACAAATCCATGTATCAGTACTGCCGGTAACCAATTCTCTTATATAAAGCTGATTGTTATCACAACCATCATCGATATTTGTTTCGAGTGATTTGCTGAATTCAAAATAGATAGACACTGCTAACGATTTTATTGATGTCAAGGCCTGACCATCGTTTAGATTTTAATTTCAGGACCTGCCTAAAGTTCAGTCACCTGAGACTAGTTTATTTATGTAAGGTACATTAAAATAGAATATCATTTGGTGATTTCAGTGATAGTGCGGGGAGCAGGGAGAGTGAGAGAGAGAGAGAGAGAGAGAGAGAGAGCGAGAGAGAGAGAGCGGGGGTATGGAGTTAGAAATTCATTGATAGAGCGGAGTAGATTGTGAAAGACATAATAAAAGGAGTGAGTCATAGAACAATGATAGAATATAGGAGAGAAATGGGCTTTGGGAAACAATGGGACAGATGATGTATTAATATAGATTGTCCAAGTAAACAGGAGAGAGGTTTATGGAGAGGGAGAGAAAGATGGGGACGTAAAGAGGGAGAGAGAAAAAAGAAAAGACAGAGATTAGGTATTCCAAAAATGGAATTGTTCATTTTAAAGTGTTAGAGTTTATTGTCACTGGGATTTTTCATGATTTCCTTCACTATGAGCTACAATGAAACTGAAACGGTTAAAACATTGGACAACAAATACACTAAAAGGACATGTAATATGATCAAGTAAACGGCAATCGATGAAATGTATTTAATTAAAAAGTCCGCATCTCACACGGAAATATTATTAATGGGTTAACTTTAAAAAGCACTTCAATCTACTTTAAACGACCTTTTCTCTTATCCTCGGACCTCAACTGAAAAATTGACCAGAACTTTTCTCTGAACTTTGAACTCATCCTCAAGTAGATGAAGATGTTAATGGTAGAGTTGATGGCGTCCAAGATGAAGAATATGACGCAGACAAAAATGAATAAATTCTTGTTCCTTCCCTTAGTGTTAAAGTCTTTGACGAATATCATCACCAAGTTGCCGACCACCGTGGGCAGCGAGCAGCAGATGAAGACGACCGATATCAGGAGCACCATCTTGACCAGTTGCTTGTCACGACCGGAGACTTGGAGAGACTGGGAAGAGGATGATGTGCAACTCCTCCATTTCGCTATGGTGACGAGCGACCTCACCAAACCAAGGGTGGACGCCACGACGACGACAAATGACGCAACTTGGGCGACGATGTCGACGGTCAGCGTGAAATTCTCCAGCTGGTCAGCGTTCGGGGATAGCACTATCCCAATCACCGTGACGTTCGATTGTGGGTTGAACCTCGGGGCAATCTGATTGGCTAGAAACTGGGGCAGCGTGCAGGCAACAAGGATGATGTAGATGCTGAGCACAACTAAAGTCGTCCTTTTGGGCGTGACGATCGATTTGACGTGAAGCGGGAACGCTACACACATGAACCTCTCGAACGTTATGAAAGCCGTTAAACACCCGGCTATTCTACAAAACAAGACGTGGGGGGTGCCCAGGACGACGTAGTTGACGGCGTCGATGGTTTCAAAGGGAGTGACCTGCACCGTCAGCGGGTTGTAGGTGACGCTGTAGCCGATCACGGTAACCAAGACACCGAGGTCTGCGACAGCGAGGCCTAGAAGCGAGATGTTGGTGGTGTCCGAGAAGCCGAGGCTGGCGAAAACGGTGATGTTGATGATGTTGAACACGATCCCCGTGAGGCCCAAAACGGTGGATATCACCACTAAGTTTATTCCCAGAAATGCAGCTAGGAACCCGTCACTTATCATTTCGAAGTCCTGAGCTCTGTCGGTGTCGTATCATTCATTTACTTTGTAACTATCGACACATTATATAGCACTCTGTACAGTATAAGACTCACTTTTTAAAGGAAAACTTTTTATTCGGTGTCATTGCTCCTTTGCAAGCTATGTGTTAAAAAAATGTAAGCATCTCTTTCCTCAAAATTTTTGTCACTTCGGTGTGATTTCCAATGCTTAATTTAATCCAATTTCCCCTGAAAAACTGTTACCAGCTATAATTAACTGTTAAGACGGTACCTTCATTGGAGTCAATCTACCTCATTACCAACGTGGCAACGATCAGTGATTTCCCCGTAACCCCCCCCCACCACATTCACACACATACACACACGCGCAGAGAGAAACCACACACACACAAGCAGGTAATAAACACACAAATCACACTCAGGGTTTTAATACCTGTTCATTGAGATTAAAATACCATCCATTTAATAACTATTCACTAGGCTAGTACCGTCATATAATAGGTAATGTACTAATTTTTAAAGCACTCAATGGGTTACCTACACAAATCAACAATAAGTATACTTTCAACTTAGCACGTAGCCAGCACCATACATATTATTACACTAATGGGCTGTTAGTGTGATGGGGACTAATAATTACGCCTAATGCGTTCATCATGTTTGCACAGCAAGTGCATCACGTTCAGTTTGGTTTGGTGTGCAAGCCATGTTTGACGTGGATTAATTTCATTGAGTCAAGGTACGCCACTGGTGCTGAGTGCTTTTGGGAGCTAAAACTCATTTAAAAAAAAAACAGTTCATTCTACAACGGCGCAAGATCATGCGCTTTTATGGTCCTACACCATCCATAGAAAGAAAAATGACCTAAGAGTTGGACATGACCGACATAACGCAGATTTTCGCTAATGCAAAAGCAGGAAAAGCATATTTTTCTTGAAATAAACTGTTAAATAATAAATAAATTTTACACGTTTGATAAAATTTTGATAACAGAATTTTTCTTTCCCAGCCTACGTATTGTTTGAGAACTCTGCAGGAGTAAGAGAATCATGGTTATCTTGAAATCTTTCTTAAGTATATACGCTTTACGTTTCTGAAAACTTGAAAATTTTAGGATTTGAGTTCAGGTAAAGTCAGGCTAAATAAAAATCATCACCATCAGCGTATTCTTCAGCATCGGGTTCTCGGACACCACTTACGTCCCGATGCTGGGTCTTGGTGTGTCAAGTCATTGGAATCGTGTTGCCATGAGCGGCTACAGCGTCATCTACAACCCGCTTACGCATCATGTCACACCAGTTGAAACTATCGACAGCGTCAACTACGTCGTTCTCGGCACTCCCAGGTCTTGTGTTGCAGGATAGCCGGGTGTTTAACGGTCGAGAGATTCATATGTGTAGTGTTATCGCTACACGCCAAAGACATCGTCGCTCCATAAAGGATGACTTTAGTTGTGGCCATCATCTAGAATCAAAAGCAAGAAAAGTTTTTTGTATTGAAATAAACTTAACTAATAGATCATCTCAACACATTTTTAAATAAGACATTACAGGATTTTTTTATTTAAATTTTTTTGGGGCAGTATCATTTTATTTTTAAGTACTCTGCAGGAGCAAGAAAGCAAAGTTTATGTTCAAATGGATTATTTAAATAAAAAAATGAAATTTCTTTAAGCTATTGAAAAAAATTGCCAATTGAAGAATTTGAGCCGAGGTAAAGTTAGACTAAATAAAAATGATTTACAAATTATTTATCAATATAAATTAAACATTTTTATATTTTGTATTTATTCTTCAAATTTAACTGATGTATTTTAATATTATAAAGTATGCTTGCTTAAACTGTGGTTTATTCTTGTGCTGTACAGGTCCTTGCTATATAAGTCTGTAGAGTCCTTAGTGTACGAATGCAAGGTACATCTTTGTAGGAAAGTAAGGCTTTTCTCTTGTTCTCAATTACAGGCTCCATATCATTACAATGTGCCTATTCCCGTTATTATTTTATTTGTATATCCCGTTTTTCCCAGTGGCGGAGACGGTGGAATCGTGCACATCATCTCGTAGATGTGTCCACTTTGAGTCCATGGTGTCAACGGGTGACCCGTTTCAAGGGTGTCCTGCAACACACTTGTAAACTGTTGCGTTTTTATTGGGTTGATTGAGCTGCGGGTGTTAATGCGCAGACAGCGCGCCTTTCAAGCGTGATGCAATTTCTTCGGCATTAATGATATTTCGCTTGCCACGAGGGAATGGACCGTGTCAATGTCGGCACCATGGTAGCATTGGGTGTAAAGAACACTGGCCAGATCCGCGCGCCCAGTGATGACTAAGTCTAGCGGATGTCAGAGACGGGAGCTGGACAGGACGTTGGCAACTTCATGCAGGGTCGGCGTAGTTTACCTGATCCAGGGCAGGGCGTAGTTAACTCACTGGATTAGGACACGACGTGGCTAGCTCAATACCTGGAAGGACATGTGTAACTTGAAACACGGTAGCAGCAGGGCTCCGACCATAAAACACAGGAACATGCGACGCTAATGGTAAGGTACATGCGACGCTAATGGTAAGGTACATGCGACGCTAATGGTAAGGTACATGCGACGCTAATGGTAAGGTACATGCGACGCTAATGGTAAGGTACATGCGACGCTAATGGTAAGGTCACCAAAGAAATGAATAAAAGAAACGTCTTGTACTTTGCCTCAAAGTAAGAACATGACTAGGTTGACCTATCCAGGACGAACATCCCAAGCACCCCGGGTGGATGGGACTCGTTAGCCTTGGACGGCCACCGATCTAAGAGAAGGCAAACTCTGAATTAAAACCAGGAGCCAGAATGATCAACAAATTGATCGTGGGCCCCTCAAATATAAGAAGAAGAAGCGCAGCTCGCTATCAGAGAGAAATAGAACACAACCTCCTTCCACAGAGTTCCTTTCACGACTGCCGCACTAAAAAAAATTTACGTCAAAACGCAGACTAAAGACAATACGTCATAATGAGCATAAAGGTACGTCACCAAGTCAAGCGTGGGAAGAGCGTCCACTAACTCATTTAAACTCTCAAAATCGCACCGCGCGTAAATCAAACATACTGTCCAGTCGGAACAATTATTAAGGAACTCCCATACTCGGCACCGTCAACATATCGAGCTGAAACATGGCACATAGCCTCTATGAGATGACAACACTTTCTAGTAAATTTTCAGCTCCCTACTCCTAACCCCCAGAAATTCATATTTTTTTTTTCACACAAGAAAAGAAATGTGATATGATGCATACTTCTTTCTTTTTCTTTATTTTGAGGGCTCACGATCAATGAATTGATCATTCTGGCCCATACAAGCAAAGAAATGTTCTATATCATATGATGCCCGCAAGAAATGAAATGTTAAATATCATATGAGGCACACAAGCAATAAAATGTTATATCATATGACAAATGTAAATCAATGATATGTTGTATCATATGATGCACACAGGCAATGAAATGTTAAATAAAGTATAATGCACACAAGCAATGAAATGTTATATATCATATGATGCACACAAGCAATGAAATTGTATATATCATATGAAGCTCACAAGAAATTAAATGTTATATAACATACTATTCACATAGGCCATTACATGTTATATCATACGATGCACACAGGCAAATAAATGTTATAAGATGCACACATGCCCCCGTTTTTTATATTAAAATCCTAGAGAAGCAATAATTCTAATTTCTAAAGTCCATTTAAAACTACACATCATAGTATTTTAACTTCACAGATGTATTGAGATTGCCGCCGGTACATTTGTTTGAAAAGTAAATCAAAGATTGGTTCTATTCTTTTTATATGCATTTAAATATATATATATATATATATATATAATTTAATTTTGTATTCTATTATTTTACTCTTTACTTTTACTGACCACGAAAAGAAAATAAAGATCATACTTTTCCTTTTAAATGTACAATTTCATTTTTTTTAATTTTTTTTTTTAAGTTAAAAAAAATATTTTCCAAAAGAATTCCCCAATGAGCATCCACATCACTGATCGATCTATTTATTTAGATTGATTTTTCTGTTGGTCTCTGAAGTTTGCATTGTGGAAAGAGCTTCTTTGCAGTGGATACTACCAAACAGAGTACAGAAGTGTTGTTTAAACTTTGAGCTTACGGCCAGGTAGATGAAGATGTTGACTATCGTGCTGATGGCATTGAAAGCGTAGAGCATGTAACACAACCTTCTTATGAAATTCTTATTTCTGCCTGTCAGCGTAAAGTCTTGGAGAAACGGTATAAGGAAGAATACCAGAATTGTCGGCAGGGAGCAGGCGATGAAGACAGTCGATATTAAAATGACCATCTTGACCAGTTTCTTGTCCCTGCTGGTAGATTTGTGTACCTGGCCAACGATCGAACCTCTCCACCGAGTGGCGGCGTGCAACGACCGAGCTAGGAAAAGGGTGGACACTGTAACGACAGCGAAGGAGGTCACCTGGGCGGTGACACTAACGCTGAAGGACATCTTTTCCAACTCGCCACTGTTTCCTCCAAAAAATAATCCCGCAACGGTTATAATTAAGAATGGGTCAAACTTCATCACAACCGGACGCGCTACGTACGCCGGGATCATGCTGGCAAACATCAAAGTGTACGCGCCGATGACGGCGGCCAGGGAAGTTCGCTGTCCCGTGAACAGCGCCCTGACGTGCAGCGGCCACACCACACAGACGCATCTCTGGAGGCTTATGAAACCTGTTAGCAGACCGGATATCCGACTGAACGCATTGCTGGGTACACCCTGAAGAGTGTAGTCGAAAACATCCAAGGTCTCCTTCGACGGCACCGCTGTCACCTTCAAGGGATGGTAGATGATGCCGACGCCGATCAGAGTCACCTGAGAGCCGATGTCCGCCACGGCCAGGCCTAAGAGTGAAATGTTGGTGGTGTCCGTCCAGGCCCATGCTGGCCAATACGATGACGTTGATCACGTTGAAGACCACGCCTGGCACGCCGAGGATGGGGATACACACGGTTATAACTAGGTTGAGTAGCTCCAAGAGATCATCACTGGCAAGGGCGGCCAAGAGATCATCACTGACCAGGGCGGCCAAGAGATCATCACTGGCAAGGGCGGCCAAGAGATCATCACTGACCAGGGCGGCCAAGAGATCATCACTGACAAGGGCGGCTACGAGATCAGCACTGACCAGGGCGGCCACGAGATCATCACTGACCAGGGCGTCCAAGAGATCATCACTGACAAGGGCGGCCACGAGATCATCACTGACCAGGGCGTCCAAGAGATCATCACTGACCAGGGCGGCCACGAGATCATCACTGACCAGGGCGTCCAAGAGATCATCACTGACAAGGGCGGCCACGAGATCATCACTGACCAGGGCGGCCACGAGATCATCACTGACCAGGGCGTCCACGAGATCATCACTGACCAGGGCGGCCACGAGATCATCACTGACCAGGGCGTCCAAGAGATCATCACTGACAAGGGCGGCCACGAGATCATCACTGACCAGGGCGGCACCCTCCCTGTTGTGGAAACCTCGCGTTACCAGCTCAGACGCATTCATTTTTTTTTTCAAACAATTTTTTATATTTATTTCAAGCAGCTGGATGGTTTGTTTAAGTTTGATAAGAAATGTGCCGAATGAATATGCCTTCAAGAACCGGTTCGTTCCGATTTGCGTTTGTTCAAATGTGAGTTCTTGTCCTAGCTTTTTAAATCCCTATTGAATAAATCAGACATACGCTTCTCCATCACGTGGCTTCAAAATCTAATATTTAAATTTTTAAGTAAATTATTCATGTTTTCTCAAAAAAGATTTTGACGGAAACTTGCTCATAACTAAAATTCGATAAAACTTGACCTTGACCGGCCCGTTTCACTGAAACGTCTCACTTGAGACAATAAAATAACACTGCAATTCACCAAACAGGAGCGAGTCGATTTAATTGGCGTTGAAAACTTGCCACCGCCGGAGGGGTTTAAAACAGCCAGAAACAATGGCAGGCATCGTCTCAGTAAATAGCCATCATTGTGCAGAGTCAACCTAATGTATTCATGGCAAGCATCGTCTCAGTAAATAGCCATCATTGTACAGAGTCAACCTAATGTAAATAGCCATCATTGTGCAGAGTCAACCTAATGTAAATAGCCATCATTGTGCAGAGTCAACCTAATGTAAATAGCCATCATTGTGCAGAGTCAACCTAATGTAAATAGCCATCATTGTGCAGAGTCAACCTAATGTAAATAGCCATCATTGTGCAGAGTCAACCTAATGTAAATAGCCATCATTGTGCAGAGTCAACCTAATGTAAATAGCCATCATTGTGCAGAGTCAACCTAATGTAAATAGCCATCATTGTGCAGAGTCAACCTAATGTAAATAGCCATCATTGTGCAGAGTCAACCTAATGTAAATAGCCATCATTGTGCAGAGTCAACCTAATGTATTCATTTTTCAACGCCGCCAAAAAAAGTGGTCTTCTGAAACACACAAAATGATGACTTGAAATAGAGATGATGATTGCGAACAGTTGACGTATAAATAAGTTAACTAATTGTCTTCCTTATTATTATTTCGATTTGATTTGACCCAGATATTTCTGAAATCAATATAATATAAAATATCTACTGTATTAGCCGGGCAGATAAGGGATTGGGTCATTAGCCAGTATGGTTTACATCGGGTATCTCGTCTTTTCTTGTCTTTCATGTTTGGGTGTAGGTAAGATATGTACATATATAGAGAGATAGACATACAGAGGATAGACAGAAAGGTGATAAATTGATGGATATATGAATGTATAGATTAATGGATAGATGGATGGAAATGGATAATTGAATAAAGATAGAGATGGATATAGATATGGATAAAGGGTTGTTAAGGGGGTGGAGGGATAAATTGATAGAGAGGGAGAGAGAGAGAGAGAGAGAGAGAGAGAGAGAGAGAGAGAGAGAGAGAGAGAGAGAGAGAGATATACATATATACATATATATATAAACATATATATATCTATAGAGCGAAAGAGAG